GCACCCGTGAAACCAGACTCTCCCTCTGTCTGGAGCACCCAGTTAACTACACCATCAGTTAACCTGATAAACTGGTCACTTAACCTACTAGTCCACAACTGGCCTTTAGGGATTCCGTAAAATTTCAGCTGATTTTTTCCTCACCTCCCTCCAAGATGGACTCTTTCTCCCATGCTCTGCTAAACGTGAAATAGCGTCGATGTTTGTCTTTCCTTAGAAGGGCTCATCACTCTGGAATCAGTTCTCTTGGTTGCCTGGGGACTGCAGTTCTCTGATGCATACAAAATAAACGTTACAGTTGTTGTACAGATTGTCTGGCTTTTTCTTGTTAGAGTGGCTGGCAGTGATGTTTTCGTTTGGCTGTCTGCATTGTAAGCCGTCATCTGAACTGTACTGGCCCCTGACTCATGCATGACTTTCAAGTCTCCCATAGGTTCCTAGGCCACCAGCAGGTCTGTGTCTTCATAGACTACTTGCCAGACTCAGGCCAGGTTTTGCTTTGGGAATCCAGGAGAGGTCATCCTGGAAGAAGAGACCCATTCGCTTTCTGTTATTTGCAATAAAGGGCCTTCCATGGGAGTAGAAAGCAGCAATTGACTATACTTAGCTTTTTTTTAGTCATTTTATTATTTTTCAGCTCATCAGATATTATAAGATGACCTTCGGAGTGACCACTTTTGCGCCAGGTCCTTTTCTTTTTCCTTTTTGCTTGTCTTGGAGAGCGCATCAAGGTTTCAGAGATGCGCGAAAACCTTGCAAGGTAACCCTGATGTGCTCTGCAGGGCACACTCTTTCAGTTCAGAGATGTTACTGCGCAGAAGGAAGGTCAGGCCTTGCTGTGCTCCTTTAATGGGCCTCATGTGGTTCTGGGGTGTTTTGTTTTGTTGATAGAAATTTCTTTAACCCAGTGTTTCTTCTATCCTAGAGCCCTTCTAATAAATAAAGATCTCACACTCTTTTTTGTGCTATTTATAAATCAAAGTAAATGACTGGACTCAAAACGAAGCTGAAGGAGAAATGCCACTGTGTTTTCAGACTAGGCCCCCTCCCCATTCTGTCACATCCCCCACCCCCACCCCAGAATCGGTGCCTAGGCCCCTTCACTGGTTCTGCCCGTGTATTGACTCTGGGTATTGACTCATCGTTGTCTCGTGGTGCTTATTGAGAGATAATCACACAGAAAATGGAAACAAATCGCTTTTGAAATACAAGAGAAATGCAGGAGGACCTAGGGGGTGAATCTCACCTAGCAGGACCTCCAGCCCTCTGTGTGTCATAAGGCAGACCTTTCCCCAGCCCTGCTCCAGGGGTTTCCTGGGCTCCAGAATGAGCTGGATCTCTTGGACCAGTGCCCCACGCTTTGTTACCCACAGAAGAAATGGGGCACACCTCTTTATTGCTTCCTTTTAGGATGAGAATTTATGAGATTGCCCACACCCACTTATGAAATTGCTACCTCTTAAGTATCCCAGATGGTAGTTTTAATGGCCAAGAGGTAGAGACAAGGTTATATTAAACAAAAGTAGGCAGACTTGTTAGAAATATGCATGTTTCCCCATAGAGCTCAACGTGGCTATTTCCATTTCTGATGTTAACTATAAGTCCTGTAAACATGTTTACTCTCTTGAGTTTGCTGTGATAAGTTCGGCTAGCCTCTTTCTAGTTCGTTGCTTTCTTAAAGTCACTCTTGGTGCAAAATCGTTATTCTGTAAATAAGTGTTGGTTAAATGCATAAATGAATCTTTAAGCTTCTATCTAGTTCAAACTTTTATGATTATCTTTCCTCAGAATTCGTAATTTCAGGGTCGATACAGAGGTAGGTTCCTTTGAAAGCTGGTATTCTTCCAGACTAGACTTTGCTTTGAGTCTCTTCTCTTGATGGTACCAAGCGCTAATGGAGCAATATCGGTGCAACAATGGACCGAGTTTACACTTTGTTGTTTCCACCACTGAGCAGCTTTAGGTGACAAGTACTTACATTGTAAGTGCCAGCCCTGAAATTATTTTCATCAGTATTTTGAGGAACCTCCACCTCAGCAGAAACTTAGGGTTTTTTTCCCTCTGGTTTTAGGCAATTAATGCATATAAGTTATGTGCATTTAGTTTTCTTTTATTTAGGAAAAACAGTATGTATACCAAATATAGTTGGATCATTTCATTGTTAGATTTAAACTAACATTAAGAGGCAACACAGAAAATAGATTCCAGCTTTGGTGCCGACCAGCCGCTCAGCCTGTGTAAGTACCTGATCCCTGCTGGGCGAAAAGGGGAAAGCCGGGTAGGTCAGCAGGAGCGGGATGAAGACTCTGGGAGTCAGGCAGGTTGAGGGCCTGCGTCTCCTGCTCCTGAACCCGGACTCTCCTTCCCTCCCACACCACTTCTGTCCTTTCCCCTTCCTTTCCTCTCCGCGGGGGAGGGCCAGCTTGCCTTCACCGTCTACCTGTGGCTTCCAGCCAGTGATTCCGGTCCCTCCAGTGATGAGTTCTCTTTTTTGGTCTCTAAGCTTTCACACTCCTCTCTCTGAACTTCCTAGTAGCTTTATCTGCTAGCGAGGAAGGAGAAACAGCGCCTTCCATCCAGGCCTCAGCATGCTGTGGGGAGGACGGGGTGGTCTAGGCAACAGCGGATGGAAGGGGAAGAGGAGACAGGAAGTGTCTGATAAGGGGAGTCCCTGCTGTCATTACAGTAGCCTGTGCTAGGCTGGTGTTCATGGGTCTGCTTCGATGGCTTGAAGTCACCAGTCATTGCCTGGGCTGGCTTGTGAACTGCAAGGCAACGAGTTTAAAGCCACAGGTACAGTGTTTGTTTAAGCTGCGGAGTGTCCCGCAGGTGTGGGTGCTGGAGCATGTATGTACGCTGTCAACCTGCTTTGCCATCTGGCTTTTTCCCTCTTGGTAATGGAGACGCCTGTGCATTTGGAATATATCATTTGTAGTAAATTGGCAAGTGGTAGTTGAATATTGGTCAATACGTTTAAAATGACAGAATGAAAGGTTATGATGTTGAAAAATGCTGTCTACATTTTTAATGGATCAGTACCTCCATTTAACTTCGTGACTCATTTTATTAGTGATACCTCTGGGCTATAATGTATAAAGATTATAAAACTCCCTTAATTAGTATGTTGTCTTTTTTAAAGGTGTTTCTTTTTAAAGATAAAGACAGCCTTCATTCTGAAAAATGGGAAATTTTTACGTTTGTTTCATGCCGTTACGCATGGCTGGTTACAGATTTCATGCCAACTTGCTTGAATAGATAAAATAAAATCTGCACTTTAGGGATTTGGAGCACCTCTGGTACAATATATCTTATGGACACAATTACCACAGTCTTCATGTCTTTTACACTTTACTGTTCTGAGGATACAGTTATAAAGAAATACTCTGCCTTGTGGCTTCTTTGTTTTATCTTGGCATTCAGATCACAGAGGCCTCTATGGTTCATTTTGAAACTCTGAGGGAAATGATACCCATATGTCTTAAAGTTTAAGTTTAATTACCTCCTGCAAATTGCTTTTGGAAGTATAGCTAGTCACAAAATAAAAGTGGTTTTAAAATTTGAGATGCAGAGAATAGCACAGGTTTTTTTTTTGAGAGATTTTATTCAAAATAGGTTCTTTCCGGAGCAGGAAAGTGAGAATTGCCTTCGGGTAATATTTTTCATGTTCTTCCTTTTATTGCCATGAAAGTTACATAATCCCAACCTCCATCTCCCTTATTTATGCATATAATGAATTTCTGAAAATTTATCACAGACTTTGCGCACCTCCTGAAAGGCATTATCATGTTTGAGGCCAAGATTGAGAAAGATGCTGCGAGGGCCTTGGAGCAATTGTTACTTTGAATGACAGAGGCCTCGGGACAGGAAGGGACTTACATCCACCTGGCTCCGCGAGGTGGGCGCTTGTTATGTTATGGAGGAAGGTTGAGGACTGTGTTACTGGTGGTGTGCATTTCCTTAGAAACAGATGCTGCCTGGACATTTTCACCTGGCAGTGTTAATAATCTGTTAACAGTGGAAGTGCTTACACTTAAGTGACATTCACCTGGTGCCTGGTAATGGGCCTTAGAAAGTCAACTGTGGAATTTTAGAAATACCTCCAGCTGTAATGGTGATCCAGGCCTCGCACCCAGATTTACAACACAACTGCAGCAGTAAAACCGTGTTGATCTGAAATATTTAGGACCAGGGACAATCTGAGACTTGGAAGGGCTAGGATTCTGCTTGAATTCCAGTGTCTGCTTACATATTACATGGTTCATACTGAGCTGGTTTTGGTCATCAGGCGTGTGTAGTTTCCAGAAACAGCCCAGGCGTCTCAGTGAGTCGAAGTGGTTTTCAAACTTTCGTTGCATCCCCCATCAGCTAGAATGTTGCCTAAAATGCCAGTTCCTGGGTATTGCTCCCTAGAGATCTGATACCAGAGCGTAGAAAATCTATGTTTTAACCCGGTAACGCGAGTGATTCTGAGGCAAGTGGTCTAGTGACCACCCTCTGAGAAACACTCGTGTGAGAAAGGTATGCACAAGTGGGGCCTGCTTCATGGGCCTGTGTATGTAGCCTGTGCAACTGCACAGCCCACCCCCCGCCCCCCACTCGAAAGGGCCCTGCATGTGCCTTGGTGCTCTGCTGTCAGCTTCTTGAAATCTTAGTAATTTTTCAACAAGGAGTCCTACATCTGCATTTTTCCCCGAGGCCTGAAAATTATGCAGATAGCTCTCTCTTCAAGATGTGATTGGGTGTTACCAAAATTGTGTTTCTTGGCGCCCATGGATTGCAATTATTCAATCACGATTTCTTCTCTGTTTGTATTAGGCGGAAACACCAAGGCCTCTTCTCAGCTTTAGAATGAATGAGTATCATTCATCATTGGACATAGGATAGGAAATCCTAATAGCATGACCTTTTTTTCCCTGAAGGAAATTAAATATTTATTGCTAGTCTTGAACATAGACCTCTCCACAGATACGGTTCTAATGCACCATTTCCTCTTCTCCTAGGATGGCACGAAACAGAAGAGAGAACGGAAGAAGACAGTCTCCTTCAGCAGCATGCCGACCGAGAAGAAGATCAGCAGCGCCAGCGACTGCATCAACTCGATGGTCGAGGGTTCCGAACTCAAAAAGGTTCGCTCCAACTCTAGAATTTACCACCGGTATTTTTTACTGGACGCTGACATGCAGAGCCTGAGGTGGGAACCATCCAAGAAGGATTCTGAGAAAGCCAAGATCGATATTAAATCCATCAAGGAAGTGAGAACAGGAAAAAATACGGATATATTTCGCAGCAATGGCATTTCCGACCAGATATCCGAAGACTGTGCGTTTTCGGTCATTTACGGAGAGAATTATGAATCCCTTGATTTGGTTGCCAACTCTGCCGATGTTGCGAACATCTGGGTGACGGGACTGCGGTACCTAATATCTTATGGAAAACATACCCTTGATATGTTAGAAAGTAGCCAAGACAACATGAGGACTTCCTGGGTTTCACAGATGTTTAGTGAAATTGACGTAGATAACGTTGGACACATCGCTCTGTGCCATGCGGTGCAGTGTATCAGAAACCTCAATCCCGGCTTAAAAACTAGCAAAATTGAGCTTAAGTTCAAAGAATTGCACAAATCCAAGGACAAATCTGGAACCGAAGTCACGAAGGAAGAATTTGTTGAGGTTTTCCATGAGCTTTGTACTAGGCCTGAAATCTATTTCCTTTTAGTTCAGTTTTCAAGCAATAAAGAATTCCTTGATACCAAGGACCTTATGATGTTTCTTGAGGCAGAGCAGGGTGTGGCACATATAAATGAGGAAATAAGCCTTGAAATTATTCACAAATATGAGCCATCCAGAGAGGGCCGGGAAAAGGGCTGGCTCTCCATAGACGGGTTCACGAATTACCTTATGTCCCCTGACTGTTACCTGTTTGACCCGGAACATAAGAAGGTGTGTCAGGACATGAAGCAGCCTTTGTCTCATTACTTTATAAACTCATCTCATAATACGTACTTAATAGAGGATCAGTTCCGAGGTCCCTCTGATATCACGGGATACATTCGCGCTCTGAAAATGGGTTGCCGGAGTGTTGAATTAGACGTGTGGGATGGGCCCGACAATGAACCTGTCATTTACACAGGCCACACCATGACCTCTCAGATAGTCTTCCGCAGCGTCATTGACATCATTAACAAGTATGCATTCTTCGCTTCAGAGTATCCGCTTATCTTATGTTTGGAAAACCACTGTTCTATTAAGCAGCAGAAGGTGATGGTTCAACACATGAAGAAAATTTTAGGAGACAAGCTCTATACAACATCCCCCAATGTTGAGGAATCCTATCTGCCATCCCCAGATGTCCTGAAAGGGAAGATACTAATTAAAGCGAAGAAGCTGTCCTCCAACTGCCCTGGAATGGAAGGGGACGTTACTGATGAAGATGAAGGAGCAGAGATGTCTCAGAGGATGGGCAAAGAGAACGTGGAGCAGCCCAACCATGTGCCCGTGAAGCGATTTCAGCTCTGCAAAGAGCTGTCCGAGCTGGTAAGCATCTGTAAGTCGGTTCAGTTCAAAGAGTTTCAGGTGTCCTTCCAGGCGCAGAAGTACTGGGAAGTCTGCTCTTTCAACGAAGTGCTCGCCAGCAAATACGCCAATGAAAATCCGGGGGACTTTGTAAACTACAACAAACGTTTCCTCGCCAGGGTTTTTCCCAGCCCAATGAGGATTGACTCCAGTAACATGAACCCTCAAGATTTTTGGAAATGTGGATGCCAGATTGTAGCCATGAACTTTCAGACGCCAGGGCTGATGATGGACCTGAACATTGGCTGGTTTAGGCAGAATGGGAACTGTGGCTATGTCCTCCGGCCAGCCATCATGAGGGAGGAAGTCTCTTTCTTCAGCGCCAACACGAAAGACTCTGTGCCAGGAGTCTCACCTCAGCTCCTCCACATCAAAATCATCAGCGGGCAGAACTTTCCCAAACCCAAAGGGTCAGGTGCCAAAGGTGACGTGGTGGATCCTTACGTCTACGTGGAAATTCATGGAATCCCCGCCGACTGTGCAGAACAAAGGACAAAAACAGTGCACCAGAATGGAGATGCTCCTATTTTTGATGAAAGCTTTGAATTTCAAATTAACCTCCCAGAGCTGGCCATGGTGCGCTTCGTGGTACTAGATGATGACTATATCGGGGACGAGTTTATCGGCCAGTACACCATCCCCTTCGAATGTTTACAAACGGGTTACCGCCACGTCCCCCTGCAGTCACTGACTGGAGAGGTCCTTGCACACGCCTCTTTGTTTGTCCACGTGGCCATCACTAACCGGAGAGGAGGAGGCAAACCTCACAAAAGGGGCCTTTCTGTGAGGAAAGGGAAGAAATCCAGGGAATACGCATCTTTGAGAACACTGTGGATTAAAACTGTGGATGAGGTGTTCAAGAACGCCCAGCCCCCTATCCGGGACGCCACAGACCTGAGAGAGAACATGCAGGTACGTTCCAGAACTTAAGTGTTTTACTCAACAGTTTTCCTTCTTAGTGCATGTGCATTGTTCATGAAAATATTGCAGGGGTTTTTTTTTTAAGTAGTATATTTGATTGTTACATTATTTGTAAATTCCACTTGGTTACTAGAATGTTTACCACAAGTCTCATTCTCCTGTTTAAATTTCCAAAACCGTAGCTGGAATCGAGAACATGGGCAGCCTACTAGAATAAAGCAGTCTCATCGTTGTCCTGCACACCATGTCTCGGTCTCCTTTAATTAATGCTCAGCAGTGCCCCCATTTTTTCTAGTAGTGTCCACGGGAATCTCTGGGTTTTCTGAGTGTTCCTTAGCTGGAACACACACCGATGGCCTATCAAAATAAAAGGGACACGTTCCAGTCTTTTCTTATGGAGCTGTTCTGCTGGGAAAGTAGCAAGTGTTTATATAAGCCAATGTGTTTGCATTTTGAGCCTCCTGCTGATTTTAGAGGATAGCTATTTACTTGTTTAAGTGAAAGACGTGGCATGTATACCTACTAGACATGCAGTGATTCCCACTGAACTCTGTAATGGCTAACAGCAGGCAGCTAGGAATTCTGTATGCAGTTAAGGTTCGACCACATGCCTAGCAGTGTACGAGGGCGCAGGAGGGACACAGAAGTGGGCAGCAAGGGCCACCTCACAGGGATACCAGCCCTTGCCCGTCCCAGGGTGAGAAGGTCCATGTGCATGACAGCTGCTCAGCGTGTGTTTATTAAATAGACACATGTACTATATTAGCTGATTATATGTTTATGTGTGAGTATATACAGGGTGGGGCATAAGTAGGTTTACAGTTGTGAGGAGTACATGAAACACAGGTTCTTCTGGTATTCTTATTAATTAATTATTGTAGTATTTTCCACACAAACAGCTGTGAATCTACATTTGCCCCACCCTGTATATAACTATTATAAGAAGAATGCCACTGGCAAGTGAGATCTGACTCAGAAAATTCAATATATTTCACCCCTCTCCCAATTTGGATGCCTCATTAATAAAAACACCTTCCCACAGTAGAGAAATTTTATTCTGGTTCTTTCAAAGTAAAGCATACCAGAAATACGAAGGGCGTTCCCCCATTTCTGAGGGTGAGAATGGCTTGGTTAACCCTCAGCTCTGAGCAAGCCACATTGCCCCCAGCCCCACGGCTGCTGCTGTGCGTGGGACCCAGAATCCCCGAGGACCTGCCAGAGCCTGAGCCTCACCTTTCCAGAACCACGTGCTCGGAGCGGAGCCCAAGGTGGTGATGTTCAATGAGCACTGAGCGCAGGCAGCCCCGGCCTGAGGGCGCAGCAGCGAAGGCCCAGATGACCTTAGCTGGGGGCGGGCGGTGGAAGGGGAAGCAGCCCGCAAGCAGGTGAATAAACACACAGGCGAGTGCTGTGAAGGAGGTGCAACGGAGTGGTCGGGAGGCCACGCCCTGGATTGGACCATCTCGATTATTCTTGTACGCAGTCAGCACTGAAGTGCCTTTGAGCCAAATGACCTGCAGTTGGCTGTCCATGCTTAAAATGATATTAATAAAAAGAACATGTTTAAACTTAAAACAAAAGTGCTGCTCGTTTCCCAGAACCGGGGAATTGGAGAGCAGAAGCACGGGGCGTGGCCGGTCTCCATCCCGCCCTGCCATGTCCAGCTCAGCCCGGGGCCCCCGTGTGCCTGGAGTAATAGCCCAACTCCTACTGGGATTAGAATTTGCCTGATTTTGTATCATAACTATTCAAAGCATAAGCTTCAACATGAACAGATTTCAAGTAAAATCTTGACTCCTTTACTTGCCCACTGGGTGGCCTTGGACAAGTAACAGCCAGCGGCTGTAGCTGAGGCTCAGCTCACTGACCCACAGGTGGCTTGTGGAGGGGAATGAGGTGAAAGGCCTCCTGTCTGGATATTTTCACGGCATATGTCTGGTGACTAGGGAAAAAGGAGGGGGGTGGGGAAGCAGTGAAGTCCGTGGAGACACCGATAGGGGAAGTTCCACGGGTAACAGGGTCCCCCACTGGGCAGACCCGACTACGAACCGCCACATCCTCAAAGTTCCTTTCGATTGGGAACCAGCAGGTGTAGACAGGTGAGAGAGTTTCCAGTTCCTACCTCAGAAATACTCCTTTCCTTTTTGAATGGATGGCCTCCTCGATTCTTATTTTAAGCCTGATTTCATTTTTCCCCTTAATCTCTACATTTTTGTGACTGCAGAGAAGCCATTCTTTTTGCTTGCTCATAATTGCCTATCAGCCTCAGCGCTGCTCTGAACTTTGATCTGAAAAGAGGCTCTGCCCTCGGGAAGATTTTAACTTGTTTACGTTTTGTGTAATTGTAATAAATTGGTATTACAAATACCTATAATCGCATTTACTTTGGAAAGGAGCCCGTTTTCACAGGATGAAATAATCGTTGGCCAGCTCCGTCATGGCAAGGCTGACAACTGTCGTGCTCGGCAGTTCCGGTGTGACCCAGTGTGTCCAGTGGGACATCCACAAACGCCTGGTCAGTGACACAGTGCCTCCTTCCTTCCCATGGCACAGAATGCGGTGGCGTCCTTCAAGGAGCTGTGTGGCCTCTCCTCTGTGGCCAATCTCATGCAGTGCATGTTGGCGGTGTCCCCCCGCTTTCTGGGGCCTGAAAACACACCCCTGGTGGTCCTGAATCTCAGCGAGCCGTATCCCACCATGGAGTTGCAGGGCATCGTGCCTGAGGTTCTGAAGAAGATCGTCACTACCTACGACACGGTGAGCAGTTTTTTGTACGCTTATGTAGCCCAGGTGAGAGAGGTGTCTTAGGTAACACACCAGGCATAATTAAGAACTCGTGTGGAGGACTGTTTTCCTATTTCATGCTTCATTTACCTGTGTTGGAAAAACCACTCTCCTGACCTTGCAGGATTTGAAACAGGTTACTGTTTTCATCGTTGTTTTAGAAAGCGGGATTCAGGCAGTCTTGCCCCAGTCGGAGTAAATCATAGCTTGCTCTTCAATAGCTGTATCTGAATAGATTTCTAAAGGATATACTATTTTCCACATAGGTATAGTAAAGAGTTGTTTTTTTTAACTCTTCCCCTGCAGCCAGCCATTGATTCACTCACTTTGTTTTGTTTTTACTTTTCAAACTGGTAATGATGAGAAACTTAATGTTCAAAAAAATACGTTTTAAGTGCCATAAGGGGCGGGGCTTCCATCACATAACTCCACTCTGTGTGACGGAGTTCTTTCTAACAGCCGGTGCTCTGAGACACCTGTAATTGTAATCAGCTTAACACGAATGAGGTATCCTGAGCAGACCTGGAATGGTGCATATTTGTACTTACAGTATATCTTGTGTTTTATTTTAATCACATTCTGCCCTTAATGTACTTTTTGATTTATCATAACTCTGAGGGAGAAGAATTTAGTGGGTGAACCACACCCATTTCAAGCTCACAATGTAGTCGAAGCTCTCAGAACTCCTGAGTGCTGGCAATTAATCTGTAGTCTGTCGAGGTTAAGGTTGGTGTTGGACAAGACCCTCCCAGATGGGCCAGACTTCTCACTGTTTACCATTTAGGGTGCTCAGGGTTAAGAGGCCTCCCCTCCTCCGCACCAATGGTGCAAACCAACCCCACAAAACACTGGGCTTCTTCGGATGCAGGACGCCATGGTCAAAAACAAAACAAGACTGGTATGATACACTGTAACAAAAATATTTGTAAGTGTTTCATTCATTGCTCCGAAAGCTGCAGTTCGGAGGGATTTCTGCAATTCAAAGAAAAGGAAACAGCACTTTAGGTCAGCATTTCCCACACTGTGTTCAGAGGAACCTTGGTTTCTTAGGATGTCAGTAAATGTCACATGGAGAAAGGTTGCTGCTGAAATAATTTGGGGAAGTACTGGTTTGAACGAAATTAACCAGACATCTTCCTGGCCAGGCTTCTCCGGGCCCTTTATTTGCAAGCACAGTGAGTTCCCAAGAGGGTGGTGGACGCAGCGTGCCCTGTTTCACAAACCGCCTTGACCACGGGGTACCATATCCAAAAACACCATTTCCGAAGATCTTTTGTTCTTGATTTTCTTCACTTCTTGGAAGTGTAAGTCGGAAGAATAGAAGGTTTTAAAAAGCTTATCAGTTCATACCTTAAAAAAAAGTGGTACTTGATCTTTTTCATAGGTTCTTGCACAACAGCCACACTTTATAGCAGATGCTTTTTATCCCTGCTATTTCCGGCTTAGAGTTCGTGGTCGCATAAGAGCTATAAAGGACTGGACCTGGGACGCTGCCGGCGACCTAGAGAGTGTCAGTCAACCTGCAGGAGGAAGGCAGGCCAGGGGCTGATGTCCGTGAGAAACACCACGCTGGGCCCCTGTCCTCAGGGGGCATCTGGCTACTGGAAGGAAATGGGGCCACTGGGAGGGACGTCACCACAAAAAGCTCGTGCTGAGAGCCTTCTGGGGAAGATGGAGATGCAGGAAGAAGTGGTAAATGTGGGGAAGTTTGAAGAGCTCTTCCGTGTTGCGACCCAGGCTACCTAGTTACTTCCCGACCCTAAGTTTTATGAGACGAAGCCAAGCAGCTGCTAGCTGGTATCTGTGAATGCCTTTTAAGGTGAAGCCACAAATAAAATCATTAGACGTTTTACAGACCTATTTCACTGACCAGAATCTAACGCAACGTACTCCCCTCAGGGATTTCACTGATGGCTATGGCAGTCACGTGGTGACCAGCCTCCATGGAAACCTTTCTAACAAGAGCGGTGGTGGTACCCTATGCAGGCGGTGACAGGACAGACTGGACAGGGGCCAGCACCCAGGACCTGGGTCAGGGGCTGGAAGCTGACCCCCAACAGGAGGGTGGTCTCGACCAGGTTCTCAGGGGGTAGGGGACTAACCCTTGTCCTGTCTGTCCTGGTGGGCCTCCCATGTAGGGCTCCAGGAGCCCCTGTAGAGCAACATCGGGCACGGAATTATTCAGTGATGGTCGGGTCCCTGCTTCTTCCTTGTCCTGGGCTGGCAGATGATAACACTGGCTATGTGACTCTTATTTTGACGATGTGTGTTGTTGTGGAAGTGATAAGACAGAATGTATGCACTTACTTACATTTTTTAAATTGTGGAACTACTCTTCCGTGAGGTTTAATTGGAATAGCTGTGCTGAATTCTGCCCCTAGCTTTATTGATTTGTTCTGTTTCTAATTCTAGCTGATAAATCAAGCTATAAAATACTTAGAATTAATTCAAATTACTTGAATTTTAGAAATTGTAGTTTTGCTAAAGCAATATTAGAACTCTTGTGACATTTTACCATCGTTTTTTAGTGACTTAATGGTCTCTCACCTGTGACAAAGGTTAAACATTGATGGAAAATGCACTACAGGTTTTCACAGCCTGTAACTTTAAATCTAGCTCTTCAGTTTTTGTAATGTTATGTTGAACTTAATCCCAGAATAACCTTAGAAACAAGATCTTATCTCATCTTGTCGACTTCCCATCTATTCCCATCTCTAATTTGAAGACCCCAAGTGAGAAGTAAGGGTGGTTGAGGAATCACCCTGCAGAACTCCGGTCACTGCCGGTCTACACTGCTGAGCTCACCCTCCGGTGGGGGCAGTGCTGTGCTCGCTCCTAAGGGTGTACAGACTGATGCTGTCTGGATTGTGATGACTCTGCAGCATCTAAGCTCTTATTAACAGACTAGCATATCGCAGCTACGTCCGTGTCTGTGAGGAGAGAGGACGCGGAGGAGTCGATGATGGCGAAGGGAACACGTGAGCCTGCATTGAGACCGGAAGAGAATGCCCATGCCTAGCCGGCCACGTGTCCTGGTTTTCCTGGAATGGACCCTGCCTAGACACCTGCTGTCCCAGCATAATTAGTAACATTCTCCCTCCAACTTGTAGAAGTACCTCCTTAGATAATTAGTTGTGTGCTCACCATGCCTGTGGCCCCTCGATTGTTCTGATGGCTTTTGTGACTACCATCAAAGAACAGATCTTCAAAACTGCCCTGATTGTCGTTTTACTCAGCAATTTGTGATATCTTCTTGGGTCCCAGAAGTGGTGAGGTTTGGGCCTGGGACCTAGTTCAGGAAGGCAGCTGTCAAAGCCATTCGGGGAGAGGAAAGAGAAGTACAGGCACCTTCTTAGACAACACAGACAGGAAGGGCTGTCAAAAATAGGGATTGGACCGGTGTGGAGAGTGGGGAGGACCACGCGTTGTTTGTTCCCCTTGAGAAGTTTACAGTTCAATGGAAGGGATGGAGAGTACCCTTAGATAGTAAGATGATAGATGATTGACCGATTGATTGGTATTAAAATATGTAAACAAATTATTTGGATGTATATGAGAGAGAAGGTTCAATCTTAGGTTTAGGGATTAGGAAGACTTTAAGGCTTTTGAGCTAGACCTTTAGAAGAAGTCAGATTTCAACAGGTAAGATAAGAAGAGGTGACTTCACAGGGCGAAACACACTCAGAAATAGGAATGGTTATGTAAACTGAGAGTCTGGCGAACCACTGCATGTCCTTTATGATTCATAACTCCCTTAAGAGCCAATCCGCACCAGCATCTCAGCACCACGTTCCCCCCTCCCATCAGCGTCAGCGTCTAATTCCCATCTTTTTAACCCGAAGCGATTCTTACCGTCCTTCTAACGTTGATGAGAGCAGTCCTTACTACCCTAACTACCTGTGTTTGTTAGTTTCAGATTTACTGTCTGTTTCAGAGTTCAATTTAAAAAAATTTTTTTACTAGATACCTAGTATCAGAGAGAGACCAAGGAGTCAGCACTCTTCCTCCATAGAAAGAAAATATTGGAAATGTAAATATCTTGCGAAGTGCGACATGAAAAGAAAGTTGTCTGTAAGCTTTTTCATCGGGCGTTGAGTCCTGTTCTCTAAGTGAAATAAGTCAGACACAGAAAAACAAGTACCGCTTGATTCTGCCTATTTAAGCTTTTTAAAATAGTCAAATTCATAAATACAAAGATTGGAACGGTAGGTACCCGTGGCTGGGGGAGGGCTGGGGAGCTGCTGATCCACACGCAGATGAATAGACTCTAGAGGTCTGGGAACACCACGTGCTGTGCAGTAGAAATTGGTTAGGAGGGTGGAGCTCACGATAAGTGTTCTTATCACAGTAAGATTTTTTATTTTTTTAAAGGTTTTATTTATTTATCTTTAGAGGGTAATGAAAGGAGAGAGGAGGGAGAGAAACATCAATGTATGGTTGCCTCTCGTGTGTTCCCTGCTCGGACCTGGCCTGCAACCCAGGCGTGTGCTCTGACTGGGATTTAAACCATGATCCTTTAGTCCACAGGCCTGCACTTAATCCACTGAGCTATACCAACCAGGGCACAGTAAGATTTTTTAAAAGAAAAAAGTTTTTTCTTTTTAAATTATTATTCTGTTACAGTTGTCCCTATTTTTACCCCTTTGCCCTCCTCCTCCCCCCTCCCCCTCCCCCCAGCCTCTGTCACTCTGTTCCATGTTTCCCTGTCTCTGGCTCTATTTTGCTCGTTGGTTTATTTTGTTCATTAGATTTTTTTTGTTGATCTTGCTGTAATTTTTATGTAATATGGAATGTGCTTTAGCCACTGTAATTAAATTGGAGATGCAATTTTAGCGAATGGAAAGGAGAGAAGAGAAAAAAGTAAAGGAAATGACACCCACCTCAGTTATGGGCAGGCTGGTTGTCCGTCAGTTCGGCGGTGGACTCTCAGGCAGCCGTCCTCTGTTCAGAGATTGTATATGAATTCATTCTCG